TTGTAAATTCTTTCCATTGAATGCGTTATCCCAATATAACTGCATACAACATATGCAATATAACAACGCGTAGCTACATACAAACGTAGATAATATGTAGAACAAATTTTTACAATGTTATTCAAATGCGTTTTAATAACAAAAGACTTAAGTGGGCTACTTAATCTTTTCAATATACGGAAAAAAAAATTTTCTCAATGCATTTTATTTCAATACATAATTTTGAAATATTAATTACATACCGATATACAATTTATAATTTTAATTAGTATTATAAAATTAAATCTGAAAAAAATAAAATAATTACAATGTTACAATGAATATACTAACATATTATGGTATAAAAAATGTTTACAAAATATTACAAAATATGTAAAATTTATGCTTTTAAACTAAAAGCTTAAGAGAAATTTATTATTTTAAGATCGAATTAAATAAATAATTATGAAAAATTTAAATAATGACTTAATACTATTTAAAACCCATTAAGCACAATGTTATTATAAAATATAATTTTACAAAAAAAAAAAAAATTGATTAAAGCTGTGAATAATAAATAAATTTTATTATTAAAATTTCTTTTATTAATTTATGATATGAAAACCAATAAAAATGCTTAATTTATTTTATATCATAAAAATTTCAAATTAAATTTTATTATTTTATCTATCTGCATTACAAATATTTTATGATATATATATATATATATACAACTATTTTATGGCACATATACAAATAAAGTATGTTGTAAGAAAGTGTTTTATTATAGAAATAATAAAAATTTCAGAAATTTAAGAAATCTAATATAACAAATTTTAAAATTTTTAAATAAGAACCAAAATTACTGAAATATTGAATTTATTGATTCGATTTTAAACATGATTTATTATTTTGTAAATCGTTAATGTAAAATTTTTACATTAATTATTACTCAACGTATTGTAATTAATTAAATGTAAAATTTAGTTAAAAATCCAATAATTTGTTCTCCAGATATCAGTATAAAAAATTAAATTGTTCATTATTCTGGATTTTATAATAATATCACATTTGATACTATGTGGAATTTTGAACCTATTTTTTAAATTACGATTAGATTGCAAGTTTGTCTTTTATGATTTTCGGGAATAATTACCATAAATGAACGAATAAGCTCTTCAAATATAAAAGCTCATTATTATCCTTAAAAACCCATACCCCCTTCCTGCTCCCCCCCCCCCCCCCTTAAATTAATCAAGGTCAATTGAAGGTAAGATGATATTACAAAATGCTATGTATTACAAGCATAACGAAATTTATGAGTTATGTCTTATTAAATACGCCCATAAAAAATTTTTGAGATATTTTATGGTAAGCTTCATGTATTTCAATAATAATGAAGTATTTAATTAGAATTATAACATTTTTTTAAAGAAAATACCGTTATTTAAGTGTAATTTTCGCTATAATCCAATTTTAAAAAAGGTGACATAAAAATTTTAGTATTGTTAGTGGACTATTTCACATAATATTTTTATTGCCAGATTAACCATAAATTAACTACTAAAATGGAGTATGCTAGATTAAATTATTTAAAAATTAATATTTTAAATTCCACATTGCAGACGAGCGCATATTTGACCTACTCTATGCCGCACAATTATTACTAGCGCCTACCTATCATTTTTTAAAATGCAATATCAAAATGAGTGAGTAAAAACTTAAAGCAACACTTATGCATAATTTTACTAATTTTAAAATTTATTTTATCGTAATTTAATCGCTTACATATACGTTCATATTATTAAAATTAAAAGGCCCTAAGAATAACATAAAGAAAAACTCATGAAAACTTAATTATTTTTCGTTTTTTAACTTTTGGTCTATAAACAAAAAAAAAATTTTTCAAATAAAATAATTTTATACTAACACACTAACACTTAGGTACTAATTCAAAGTTACTTTCACTAACTGTTATAATTTTTTTCCATTTAAAACGTTAAAAAAAAACTTAAACCCTTTAATTATTTGAAAATGAGAAAAAAAGCCATGAAAACAAATTCCCAGCGATTAAAAAACATCTGCGTCTTTAAGCAACTAAAGAAAAAAACCTTTTCATTTAAGTTTTAAATTCTTCATTTTGTTTTTTGTTTTTTTATTAAATGTTATTAAATAAAATATTTCCTTAAACATTAAAAGAAATATCATCTCTATAATTACAGAATTATTTATATACAGCTGTAAATAACTTAAATTTACAAAAAAAAAACCAAAATGAATTTAATTTTAAACCTTCAAAATAAATTAATAAAAACAATAAACAGAGAAAAAAAAAATTACTTTTACAATTCGCTTTTCTCATATGTATGAAGTGTATAACATAGTGTAAACCTTTCGAACAAAATGAATATATCTAAATTGTCCTTAATTCATTGTAATTATTATTTTATTTCAAAGAAATTACCAAAACAAAAAAAGCATTATACATTGAATTCCGAAAGTTATCAAATTATTGCGGTATAAGCACACAAGTCACATTCATACATGTATGAGCACAACATATTATACATAAATATGTGAAGGGTCAGTCAATTACATTAATAAATTACATCAAAATATTTTGTTATAAAACCAAAAGAAAAAATTCATTTTCAACATGATAAATTCAAAAATATTGCAAAAAATAAAAAAAACAACAAATTGGAATTAATTTTTGAAGATTAAGATTGTATTATTAATCAATAAACTTATACATATACAGATAAAAATTGTATGAATGAACATAAATAGTTTTAAGGAAGAGAGAATTACTTAAATATAATGTTAAACATTACTTATTTTCAAATTAAACCTTCATAATTATAACGCGATGTGTGCGTATTAATAATGAAATTCTTTCGAACCAAATATAATATCGATTATCAAAATGGATTGTTAATATTTTAAAATTAATGCACAATATTTAAAGATTTTGTAGAATGTAGAGCTAAAAAAAAAAGAAATAGGTAATTCTTGAAATTTTTGGAAAATTGTTTACAATGTTAAATAGTTGTAAAAAGTCAGTTTATCAATTCACCTTTAATATATCGAACATGTTCGAAGCAGTTAAGTTAATTCAGTCAAGTCAAAATAATGTCAAACATGTTTGAAGCAGTTAAGTTAATTCAATCAAATCATATTAATATCGAACATGTTCGAAGCACTTAAGTTAACAATGTCAAACTACACATTACATTTTATCCATCAAACAAAGTACTTGAATGTTTAAAAATCGATTGTTTCTAATCAAAAGATGTTCGTTGATTCGAAAAGGATGTGAAACATCAAATATTTTTAATGAATATTTTTTGATTTGATTACAATTTCCTGCTTTTTCTGTCAAATTATATCTACGAATGCCATTCGTGAAACAAAATCAAACTTCATAATTACGATTTTTAATCAAATCAAACAAAAACTGCTAACAATAATCCATACATTTCTTATCTACAAATATTGGTTGTCTATTATTAGCAATGAAACAAAAATCATATAAAATACATAAATATTAATATTATTAACTAGTAACTATAAATTTATTTGTCCAATTAACATTGGAAAGATTTCAAGAATATGATACGGGTCAATTATTATTTTTAAAAGATTTTAAAAAAGATTATAAAAATATACTTATATATTAAGGTATGAAATAAAAGGCGCAGTTATTCAAGCTATACTACCTCTACATTCAATTACTTATTTATAATATCCAACTATATACTGAAATTAATGATCTCTTAAGTTGAATAAGAATTTCCTTATAATCATTAAATGGGGAAAAAATTAAATTACAAAACATGTGTAAAACTTACATCATACATAATACCTTTTAAAAAGATCTCATTTAAGATTAAAATTAATAATTTAATTTATTATTAAGGACATAATAATACAAAAAATATTTAAAAGATTTTAATAAATAAATTTGGAATCAATTTGTTTTTAATGTTTACAAATAAAAATTAAACACAAAATTTTTATATTTTTTTTTTGTTCAGTTTTTTACTTCGAATTTAATTGAGTTTTGTTTTTTTTTATATTTTGCAAAAAATTTAATGTTTTATTTTTATTTAAGTTAAATCATAAAAATCAGAAAGGTAAATTTTAATACCAAATAATTATTATTAACTAAATAGCTTTCAATTAAAGAAATATATAAGTATAAAGATATGTTTTAAATTTTAATTGCTTCTCTTGCTTTTAAATTTAAATTAAGTATAATAGTTATTTAGTATATGTAGATAATATAATTAGGATTGAATGAATTAATTTAATTCTTTTGCTCAAATAAAATTTAAGGTATTAGAATGCCATATAAAACTTCAGTATGAATTCGAAGGAACGAATTTCATATTAGAACGCAGCATACATGCAATTTTTAGTTTGATTGCTTATTTATCAACAGTTTGATTGCTTATTTTGCAACTGTTTGATTGCTTATTCCATAGCATGTACACATACAACTGTATGACCGCATATAATTAAGGAATCAAACAGTTTGTAATTTTTTTTCAAACTGATTGCAATTTATAGTTAACACAATCAATTTGAATTACCGCAATAATTTAGTTACTTAGATATGCGCGCAACGATTTTACTATCTTAATTTAAAAATTAGAATAGTAATTCTTAATGTGAAATAATGAATTTCATAAGAAGAATAGTTAACTTTCAAATAAGAATAGTAAATTTCCTGGCAAGTAATTATTAATTTTGCATTTTTGTGATCAAATCAATTGTAAAATATAAGTATAATAAGGTTTGGAACTGAAAAATTTAGCAAATTTTTTGAAATATGATAGTATTGTTCAATAAATCTAATATATATATTTTATATAATATAATTTAATTAATCATTAAAAATAATTATTATTTATATGCATAATATGTATAACTAAAACTTTTATAATATAAGTAAGTAAAACAAATATAAAATTAAAAATCAAAAAATTTTTTTTAAAAATAAATAAAAAATTAAATACCTGGAAATTTATAACACCTGGTGTTTGTAGCACAAAGTTATTTATCCAAAAAAAAGCAACGAATTAAAAAAAAAAATTTTTTTTTTTTTTTGTTAATAATATTTAAAGTGAAAATTTAATTAGAGATATAAAAAAAAACCACTAAACACAAAAAAAAAAAGGAAAATTATAACAAAAAAATAATAACAAAAATTTAATTGATTCCAATTATTTTCAATTATATTAAAACTTCACTGTTATACACGCACATATATCATATTAATATAACACTTATATAGATATAATATTGTATATAGGTATTATATGTACTTCGAATGAATGTATGTTAACGCACTTATATCGGTCGGAATCACTTTTAAATAATAATTATGTTTTAATGCTATTTTAAAGCTTATTACTTATATGAATTTAATTTTTTGTTATACATAATTGAGTTTTTTATATATATGTAACATACATACATTTATTATATCTTGTAGGATTACTTTATAATTATTATATACGTTTTAATATTATATGTATAACTGTAAGTATATATACCTTGCAATATTTTAAATATTTGATCAAATTTTATTCCAAATTTATTTTTATCTTCATATCAAATTAAGTAGAAAAAAATTTTGGAGTTAAAAGAGGCCTATGTATACACGACAACGCCATATCATTCATCATTTTTTTTTTTGTAACACATACAATTTACAATCTAATATATGGTAACACTAACACACATTTATATTATAAAAAATTTTATTATTTAATTTCAATTTTAATTTAATTTTATATACGTTTTCACTGAAATTTTTTTTTTTTTATAATTTTATGAAGAAAAATTTTTTTTTAAATTTTTATTTTTTTGCCTTTTTGATTTCTTGTGTGTAATTTAAATTTTATTGGAATTTCACTGGCACTTCTTTTATTTTTCACTTCACTTAAATTTCATTTAATTTTTTTATATTTTTTAAATTTTTGTTTTCTTTTTTAATTATAATTGAAATTTTTCACTTATGTGCATTTGATTTTTAGGGTTTGAATAAAATTTTTGGTTTGTTTGTTATTTTTCTTAAAAATTTTTATGTATAACAGTTTTGACAGTATAACAGTTTTGAATTTTTCGACGTACATACATATTTCGGCTGTAAAAGCAGGCGTTTTTAATTTTATTTTTGTTAAAATTCGAATTTTTAATATTTTTTTATTTCATTGCATAAAAAGTTTCCAATTATTCCTTTGATGAACTTTCATTTAAAAGCTTCTCACTATTTTCATTCTTTTTTTTTTTAAATTCTTTTGAATTCCACAAAATTCTAACAATTTCTGGAAATTTCAAGATTGCCTTTTATATTAATAAAAACGAATGTGCATATTTCAGTTATTGTTTGTTACGTTTATTTTAGTTATTATATTATTTAAGTAAGTAATATGCATATAATTTTTTAATAATTTTCACAAAATTCTTCCTCCAATTTAGATTTTTTTCACGTTCAATTATTTTACAATTTAATTAGGTTTTCAAAAAAATTTTTCTAATATTATAGAATTATATTACAAGAATAATTTCATTAATTGTAACAAAATACTTATTGAAAAGTCAAGGTATACTTTGATTTCTGAAAAATTTAAAAAAAAAAAACTTTTATTAAATAATAATTTTTTTATAGAATTTGAATTTTTGTGATTGATTTTTATACAAGTATTAATATGGAAATATTTTAATAAAATTATAAATTTCTTTTAAATTTTTTACTTAATGTACGAGTAAGTATTTGAAAAATTTCAAAAATATGGCTACGAATAGCTCTTGTGCGTGAAATATTAACTTTCGTGTATATTATACGTGTATATTACGTAAATAACAGCACATAAATAAAATATTTAAATTTATGTTAAAGCAATTTCTTTTCTCTGTGTGCTTAACAATGCATTATACAAATTTCTAATAGTAAAAATCGCATAAAAACAATAGTAATAAACAAACTAATATGATTACGAATATTTTATATTGTGTAAATGTATATGTACCTATACGTTATATATATGATAAATGCATGATATATACATGAATATAATTATTATTTAGTATAAGAAATTTCACCCATTAAGAAGTACTTACATATGTATGTATATGATATGGAAATTTTAATGAAAATGAAATATGAATAAGAAAACCAATGTAAAAATACAAATTACTTTTAATATTATAAAAATTATTTTAAATTTTCACGCATATTTTCATTTGTATATTATGTTACGCTTTGAATTTTTTAAAATATTAAATTATATGAGTGGTTTTGTATTAAGTATAACAAATTGGAGACAACAAATTAAATTCCAAACTATAATTATATTTTAACAATAAATCTTATTATATGATTTATCTTATTTTGTAAATGACATTATTGTCTTATATAATATTACTCATTAAATATAAATGCAAATAATATGGGTAATTCAGACGAATCAATTACCCACATAACCTCACAATAATTATGCTAACAAACAGATGAATAACTTATTTTCATATTATTATTGTGTACACAATTATAAAGTTAAGCAATAAAAATGTTAATTATCTGTTACAAATCTTATAATATTCTCCATATTTTCCCCTTCTTAGAAATACTTTTACAAATAGGTAAAAACAGTAACGTGACTTTATAATATTTTATATAATCATAAAGTTATTGTAATATTTACCTCGCTGCTTTAGTACAATAAAATATTAATTACCTATTTTAAATGAATTTTATTAATTAATATAAGGTTAATAACACTGTTATATTGAAAAGAAGTTCTTGTGTTTTCGAATTTAGTTTTAATATTAATTTTATTAATTATGAATTAAAATAATCTTCTGTAATTAACCAGATGTACATATGTATACTCGTATGCTTTCTTATACTTATATTTGTTTTAGAATATGTAATTGAAGATTATTCATTATTATTGGTACCAAATAGTAAGTATGAATAATATACTTATATTCAAATTCTATATGCGAGCGAATTGTAGCCGTTTACCGTATGTACCAACTTAAATAAATTTTATGTCAAATAATGATATAAATCACATAAAAATTAGTAAGACACCATATAATAAACAATTATTATGCCTTTTTAAATATGTGTAAGTGAGACAAGAAAGCCAGTGAGACCTTGAGAACATAAACTTTTATTTGATTCACACGTAGTGGATGACATCTTAGATAATGAACGAAAAATCGAATGTACAAATTTTTATCTAACGAAATTTTAACAATTTTAATTTTAGTCGTGATATTTATCTGTATTTCGCACTTATTTAATTAATCACAGGTTTAACTAAATATTTTAATATTGAATCATTTAAAGTATGCGATATTCAATTAATTTCATTTAATATTAAATTTAATCTACCACAATACTTCAATTTATAACATTAAAATTCTATTGAAAACTTACTCAAATACTTACATTTTTATTGCTCAAAATCTTTTATCCAAACAAATAAATTTTTCAAAATTATTATTTATTAAAAATATTACAAAATATTTAGTAAATCAAATATAAATCATTTCAGAAAAAAAAATATTTTTAATATAGAAAAAATTTAATTCAATAATTTCCAAAAATTCCACTTAAAACACAATTGAATTCAAATCCAAGTAAAGATTTTTATGTAATTTTTAATCTTATTTATTTATATTGTATCCAGCTTTACCTACATACTTATATAATATAAAATACTTTAAAATGTACGGTATGAATTTACATTACAGTTATTTATATAATATTATATAACTCTATCTTCTTTCAGAAATGTTTTAAATTGCTTAACAATTCTTCTTAATATTCTAAAGCCACTCTATTCAAAATCCACCTTTTATTTATATTATATTTAATTTGTTTTATAATATATATGCATATAATATAATTTATTTAATGTTATACACACACGTTGTTGGACAGGTGGGAATTCACCTTCCAAAAGAAAAACAATGTCTATAATAATAATATAGAATTAAAAGCAAAATAACAAAATACTCAAAAGAACCGTAAATTTTCCGTTCTTTTTTCTTTTTGTTTTAAAAATAGTTTTGAAGTTTTTGTTTTCTTTTTATTTTTTCATATACTCAATAGAACTTGCAAAGCTAATAAACTGGTATAAAAATCACACTACATTATACACGAATATTTTTTTTTTTTAACGTTCTCTTTTAAAACTAACGCACCGCCGCAACACGACCTGTACTATACGAAAATCAAATTTAAACTGAAAGACCAAAACAGTTTTCAAAAACAAAAACAAAAAACTACAATTTGACTTAAGTCATATTTAACTAAAGCAGACAAAGTATTCAAATTGCGCGGTAATCTTAGCTCGAACATGAAAAATAAGAAAAAGAACAATAACAATAAAGAGACAGAAATAGAAAAGTAAAAAAAAAACTCGTATAAAAGGTGAGACCAAAAAATTTTTTATAGAAGCAAAAAACAAAAAAACACTGAAAAGTGAGACACCAAAGAAAACACAAAAATAAAAAAAGACAAAACAACGTGCAGAAAACATTAAAACTTACGCTCTGGTGAAGAAAAATAAAAGTTACATAAAATATGTTGTATAAAGGTAGGATCGGGAGTAAAAAATAAAAAACCAGAAGTGGTAGAATGAATAACTCACTCATTATTATGTTGTACGAGTATAAGTGAAAAAAAAAAATATAAGAAAAAAATATACAAATCTCACTCATTTTTTTTTTTTTAATTTTACGTCGATTTTTTGATATAATCGATTCATTCATTCCAATTATAGAGAAGAATTGCATATTTTTACTCAATCTATAGTGAAAATATAAAACTACAAACACGGTTAACATAACAATAACGTTTTTACAAGATTATTATGGAATAAAAGAGAACAACATAAAAATTTTATTAATGAATAATAAATAAAAAATTATTCTCATAAATTCTCCTAAATATAATTCAAATTTATCTCGTAAGAAATTGAGTACAAAGAGTTTTTAATGAGAGAATGTCAAAATTTCTATCGTATTAACGCTATGTTTATTTAAAAAATGTAATACTTAATGGTCACTCTAGCAGTGTTTTAAACCATAATTAGAAATTTATTAAAGTGCAACAGCATCAACATAATAACA